AAAATCCATTTACCTTGACCATAATGTATCCTCTATAATAGTCAGAGACAATATGTTGATTTTTATAATGAACTATAAATGAATTGAGTTGGGGATAAAAAAGTTCAGCCTATCTTTTTATTCTGCATAACCACATAGAATTAATTAGAACGTGGAGCCTAGAATAAGGATTGATTCCTCGATCAGTTTAGCAGAAAACATATCATCATAATATCAGACATAGATTTAATTAATTATTTTTTTACTGTAAGCGCTGCGCATGACGGCAGCACAAGAAAGTGCAATTCTAAAACGTGCTAAAAGACATAGATAGCGACAAACTGTGATCCTGCCCGTGAAAAGGGGAGATTTCAAAGGAACCTTGTCGAAAACATGTGTGCTGTTTGGTACACACTGACAGGATAAACATTCGTATATCAAAGACCAGAAAGATATCTTATTAGAGATAGCTTTAATCTGAAAATATCTAAATGAAAGAAAAGAATGAAATGTTGAAAGACTTAACACTTACTGTTCGGAACATTTTCACATACACTCGTGGATTTATGCAAGTGTCCGTGAGATGTTGCTTTGAAAATGACAAAAGTGCAGAATTCCCCCCCCCCGCCCCCGTCACCCCCCCCCCCCCCAAACAGAATAGTACTTTTATTGTTCGGAGGTCATTATGAGTGGTTATTACATGACATTCGAGTTTGTGAAAGGTAGTTGTAAAATTCTTGTCTTCCTTATGTTATAGTTTGTTTTTCACCCTAGACTTGTATTAAAATGTCCAAGTCAATGCACCCTGACATAAATCATTCTGATTTATCGTAGAGCACACCATTTAACTCTGTTTGGAACCAAATTAAAGACAGGGAGGGAAAGGTTGCGCGTGCACTCGACAATTATTAGCGAGACGGGGGGGGGTGTTCGAAGGAGACAATCGTTTGGTATGTCCAAGCTGGGCTTCCAACACACAGACTGTGCTGTTCTTGATAAAGACTCTGCTGACCAATTTGACAAAGCCTATTTGAAATGCCGAAAAAAAAGCATCAAACTGCCCGTGGCTTTGCTATCTTTTACATATATTCTTTTCTGTTTGACCTTAGGGTTTTTGACATCGTTCCTTTCATTTCTTAACTGTTTTTAATTAAAAATTCAACGTTTCTTTTCATCAAAGCTCGAGATAAGCTAATAGAATCTATCTCTTCTAGTTTTTCTTCTGGAAACGTTATCTAAACCTCTGAAGATGCGATAGGCCGAGTTGAGTTGGGAAGGGCGAGAAGCGCTGTTATAAAGAGAGTTATAATAAGCTTCATTTGGATGGCACCAAGTATTCTGAGAGAAGAAAAAAACAATTGTCATTTGAGCAAAAAATGCATGTCGTTCAGTTCCAGTGTTTAAAACCAGATATATATAATATGACTATTGTGCGTTCATAGCGCCGTAAATCATCAGTGTCCTAAGTAACTGTTATCAAAGTATCGCAAACAATTTCAATTGTTTTTAACGACATTTACAATGCAAGTACGTTGGAGTTTTTATAGATCAGGGGTTTTTTAATGCGAAATGCCATAGCATTTTTTTCCGCTTTCGTTTCTGCTCAACTTGCAGGAGATGAATTGGGAAGCCGCGGAGGAGTGACTACGGAAGTTAAGTTAAAAGCAACGCTCTGAAAGCCACATTAAGATAATATCTAAAAACATATTAAGGCATAGGAGAATAGTTAACCTGTTTTAAATGTCGCCCCATGCTGTTTTCGGCGGACAGGAGAGCACAAAGGGAAACGATACAATAATCAAGATTACATTTTTAAAGTGATTGTATTGCCGGTAACCCAAGTTGGCTGAGATAGGAAGATTTCTATAGGAAGAACATGTGTGTGTGAGAGAGAGAATGTGTGTGTGCGTGCGTGCGTGTGTGTGAGTGTGTATGTGTGTGTGTGTGTGTGTGTGTGTGTGTGAGAGAGAGAGAGAGAGAGAGAGAGAGAGAGAGAGGGAGAGAGAGAGAGAGAGAGAGAGACAAAGAGAGCTTGTGTGTGTGCGTGCGTGTGCGTGCGAGCGTGGGTATGTGCACGTGTTTGTGCGCGTGTGTGTGCGCGCGTGTGTGCGTGTGCGCGTGTGTGTGCACGCGTGTGTGTGTCTACGCGTGTGTGTGTCTACGCGTGTGTGCGCTCACGCGTGTGTTTAAGCTACCTCACCAGAACTTCTCAGTGTCTTCTTTTTGTCTCTATGTGTGTTATGCCTTCGCCCCAGCTGTCTTTAGTGCTGATCAGCCGACTGGGGGTTTTGTCTTACAAAACTAGACCCCCAAAGTCTTACAATGCAGAATCCCGTATTATATTCTGTTTTAAGTGAGGCGTGAAACATGCACGGGACACTCCCATCCTATCCCTGCCATGGCCTTCACCCCCCCTTTTTTTCTCTTCGGGAGTTATCTTTCCGGTCGATCGAAAAAGATATTCCACCTCCACAGTAGACCACTACCAGTCTTCTCTCGTTACTCTGGATTATCAATCTCTACCTCAGACTGTAAGAATTCCACTTTGGCTGGGTTATCTAAGTAGAATCGTGTTACAGTCAGTAGGCAAAGAAAAGGGAACACCCGAGCAACACCCATGATAAGAAACGGTTCACCGTAACGGCAACTTGCCTTGCTCTTGCTGGAAATCCGTTTGAGTGTGGGGATTTTTACGGACTTACACGATCACGGTACAAATTCCCTAACCAACTGACGAGACAATCGGTTGTTTATTTCTTTGTACTTTCGTTCTGTCATTCATGGTAGAGATTGTGCTTGGTTGGCGGCTGGTGCGGTGTTGTGTGGTTAGCTCAAAGCCACACCTAATACCGTAGCTCCTTCTTTCCCATCAAACATCTAGCATCTGTATAATCTCTCCTCCAGCTTTTTTATATTTGGTACTTTCTTGTAACATCTCTAATCCTCGGCACTTCTACGATCAAATTGTGTTACAAGCGCCGTAAACGCTTACTAAAACTTAGCTAAACAGTTGGAGGTTCTCACGGCACGTTTGCATTTCAGTTTCCTTTCGTGCTTTTATATTCAAGTGCAAAATATTCTCGCTATCACGATCATTATTGTTCTGTTTACATTTCGTTCTCATTTCGATTGCGTTCGCATTTCGGGTCTCAATGTGTGTATAAGTTCCTCGCTTAAGGCGTAATTTGACTTCGTATATTGTTACTGCCAGACCCAATGTGTGTGTGTAGACCAGAGACGAGGGTTTATCTTTCCCATGTTGTGTCTCAAGCTCTTTTCGTATAAATGCCAGAAGACATTTTAAAAGTGCCAGAGCTGCGCTTGGCATTTCCTGAAGACGTCTAATGTGAGATCCTCAACATGAAACCTTGGCATTTGTTCAGATCATCGTCATTTCGTCTCAGAAACGCAACGCTCTTGCAGTTTTCTTTTTACTGTTTTTTTTTTCCTTTGGGGATGAGGTTGATGTTGTTGTTGTTGTTTTTGTGTTTACGTGTATGTGTGTGTTTGTGTGTGTGAGTGTATGTGTGAATGTGTGTGCGTGTGTGTGTACGTGTGTGTGTGTGTGTGTGTGCGTGCGTGTGTGTGTGAGTACAAATGGAACCAGAGGTTTTGTTGCTTCATGATTTTTAGAAGACAGCAGACAAAGAGTAGATCTAGGTGGTTGTGGTCTTGTAAGTCTTACTTCTTTCTCATCCCTCTCATATTTCTGCCTTCCTGTATTGCGTCTTCCGAGCTCAGAATAGCTTTTTGTGTGTCCTCTTTACTATAAAATAAACCTATTAGGTATCATATTATAGTGGTTGGAGGCGAGGGTGCAACTGGTAGGTCTTACTACTTTACTTTCCCTCTGTTTCTGTCTGTGTGTCTTACTTTTTCCCAGCTCGAAGTGACCGTTATTGTTTCGATATGCTTCTATTTTCTCAAACAAAAACATAATATCATAAACAGTAGTGCATCTGGATCATTCCAAAGCTTATCAACAAAACTGACAGCCTCTAAACAACTGCAGACCAACATCTTTATTAGAGTTCAGGCATATAGATCCGTAGTCGTTCAACGCACAGATTCATCGCCATATCAAAGTTCTGACTATTCTTACTCGTTCGCGCATAATGATGTTGATTACCCCACCCTCACTCCCCACTCCCACTTCCAATACACGCACAAGCGGATGGGGGCCAAGCACGTTGCCCCAACATACGTTGTGAAGTGGGGTTTTTGTTTGTTTGTTTGTTTGTTTGTTTGTTTGTTTGTTTGTTTGTTTGTTTGTTTGTTTGTTTGTTCACCTTCACACCACAGCCAGTGCCGAGGATATTTGACGCAAATTAATTTTCACAGGAAATTTATGAAAACTAATAATCCAAGTACTAGTTGGGTGTTTGGTTTAAAATTTATTGTCAAATTGGCGCTCGTTTGGGGGCTTGGTGGCTTTTTTAGGCTTCGACACTATAGATGCCACCTTTAATTATTATGGGAGTGCTAATGTTCAAACTCGTTCCTTAGCTTTCCCCCCTCTTGTCTTGTGTAACAAACTTAACGGACATCATCTGGATCATTAGGCAGGTCTGCTTCAACTTCAATCATAACTGTCAGGGCCATCCCCAGCTGAGAAGGATGCAACGTCTATGCAGAAAGAACGAGATACTCGATAAAAATCATCCCCCACACGTGAACTGAACTCAGGTCTTTTGTCTGCCACGGCGGAGCGCCTAAGCTCTACACCATACAGGCCGGCTGCCATCAGGGTAGCACCATTGTTAGATAACATTAACTGTCCCCATCGTTTTATGCAAGAAAAATTCAGAAAATATGCAAACTGAGCCCAAAAATATGAAATTATGCGATTCTGTTGATTTTAACAAAGAATGACAAAGGAAAATAATCAGAAATTATGCCCAAAAAAATGATAACCTTTGGCAAAATTATGCGGGGTGCATAAAACCACGGGGACAGCATTAAAGAGCTTATCAGTTCTAACTGAAATACTTATACATAATATCATATCTCCATGCCCACAGTTCTCTGCAAGGTGAGAGGAATTCTATCCACAAGAACCTGGCGGTATGTCTCCTTGTGGCTGAGCTGCTGTTTGTCTGCGGCATTGACAAGTACGATGAGCCGGTACGTTTCTTCAGATTACACGGAAGTAATCATATTATAATAATTTACAGAATTGAATATTAATTTGTAACTGTTTATGATTGTTATCTGTAGTTAGCAAGGTCTATGTCTTCTATTCCTCCTTGGGAGGTCATGATCAGCTCATGATGGGCGATCATCTATTATTATTATTATTATTATTATTATTATTATTATTATTATTATTATTATTATTATTATTATTATTATTATTATTATTATCCTTTATATTGTTGTTGATGTTATTGTTATTGTTATTATTACGATCATCATCATCACCATCATCATCATCATAATTACTATTATTATTATTATTATTATTATTATTATTATTATTATTGTTGTTGTTGTTGTTGTTGTTGTTGTTATTATTATTTTGTTTATATATAGAGATATGATTATTGTTTGTGGCCCGTGTGTAACTTTAAGCTAGTAAAACTTTATTTAACCTCTTAAGAACAACACCTATCACTCTCACCACCCTAAAAGCAAATTTCAATATCGTTTGACCTCTGTCATGTGATGACAGTGAGAAAAAAAGACGAGCGGGGGAGGGGGGGCAGAGTGAAGATAATTTGATAAGGGGGGGGGGGGTTCAGATGGATACGAAAAGTAATTATGCCCCATTGTGAAGTCGTGGTAAAAGTATGCCAGCTGAAACATGTTCCTGCGGGACTCCTTGACTTGGATGCCCTCTCGAATAAAAGATGCATAAAAAGGGTGACCGTGCCCAGCTGATTTGTCATACGTTTTCCATTAAAATTTGGTCTCTGGTACCATGTGTGATAAGGAACTTTGTCTCTGGCTTTCTCAAAACGTGTCGTAAATATCTCCATCTGTGGATGGTTGGCGGGTGCTCTGGTGTGGTTTGCTTCTTCTTTCCAATCCAACATAATATCGTCCTTCTTTTTATTTTTGTTACTCTCTTGTAACACCTCTAATCTTCTGGCGCTCATATGACCTTATGCAGTTGCGAGCGCCGTAAAACCTCTACTAAAACAAACATATCTCCTTCTTGATCTTTCCTTAGTCGTATTGGTGCATGCATCCCCAATACTACCTACCATTCAACACTTTTTTGTGTATGATAAATTCATTCGGTTTACAGAATGGAAAAAAGGGCTTTTTGGTAACATATTCCTCCTCACACATTGGCCTCCAGGCACTGTGCTCTGTGGTTGCCGGGTTCCTCCATTACTTTTTCCTGGCGACGTTTACATGGATGTTTCTGGAAGGGCTCCACATCATCTTCATGCTGGTTCAAGTCTTTGATTCCTCCCGCTCAAGGCTGCCTTACTACTACATGGCTGGATACGGTTAGTACAGGAATATTGTGTTTTGTGTCTTTGTATGTCTTAAGATTGTCTAGGTTATTGCACGCAGTTGATAGGGTGCCCGCGTCTTGTTTGCTCATACATGTATTTAGGTCTATTTCTTTTCAGTGTTACTTTGCCAGAGTCTTTTGTGTAGATTTTACTAGTTGTTGGGCGTTTAGCTGTCGCACAAAAAAAAATCTGAGTTCAGTTCTCGTGAGAAAAGAATTTTTTATCGAGTATCTTTCCACAGTGGCGTTGTATACCGCTCAGCCCGGCTTGGCCCCGATAAGAACGACACGGTCGAAGCTCACGTACAAGATTATTTAAATTGTGTTGATGGAGGCGTAAGAACACCTACACTTTTTAAAAACATCACTGCTATTTTTGGCTGCTTCTAGCATTATAGTGTTGAAGTTACCATAGTATTGGTTTAATGCCCCTTTTAACACTGTCGAGTTATTTTAAGACGCGGGTGCTCCAGGGTGAATTAACATCAATTGTTTGTGTATTTGTTTCCCTGTGTCAGTTATGCTTGTGTTAATTGTGTATCGTATTGTCAGGTGAATGAGAAGGGAATGCGAGAAATTAACTTTAATGTTTTGTGGTTGGTTTCAGGTATGCCTTTGGTGATCGTTGGAGTGTCGTGCCTGTATTATTACCGTGGATATGGAACTGACAGCTTGTGAGTATCAATAGAAACTATAGTTTTCCAAAGATACTAATTGTTCTAAATCTGTGAAAGACTGACAACGATGTCAAAATTGTCTAAGACGACTACCCATTGTGGAGAAGAAAAGTTGTTGCCTTAGCTAGGTGGACATCTTGGACCGTGCCATTATAATACATTGTACACTTAAAAGGGAAATGGGAAGTGGGGAGTGGTGGTGAACATGAATTGAGGTGATTGCTTTGGTCAGGTGGCTGTTAGAGCGGGTATCTGTATTTAAGAGGCAGTTGATGTGCTTGTCATTTCTAGTATGGCGGCTCGTGACTTTCTCTACAGAGCAAATGGCAGTCGCATATTATAGAAGCTTTATTTTAATGAGGGAAAAAGTTTGGGAGGCAGATTTTTTTTAAAGAACACCATATTGGGTAAGCTGAGACAGTTGAAACAGTCTCTGTAAATGTGAAGAAGTAAAAATAGAACAAACATGTGCGATGAAAATATCAGGATTTCTGCTACTGGTTACCTGAAGTTAGTAGGTTATGCGCATATTATTACAACTGACCTATAAGAATACGTGGTTGGTTGTTGTTGTTGTTGTTTTTTTTTGGGGGGGGTTGTTGTTGTTTTTTAGGGAGGGGGGGGGTCCAAAATACAGCTTCAGGCACTTAAAGAGGACACACCCATAAATCCTGGTCGTTCAGTGTTGCTCGTTAACAGCATTAACACTATATTCTGACTTCATATCTCCCCAGCTGCTGGCTGAGTACGGACAGATATTTCATCTGGGCATTTGCTGGACCTGTGGCATTGATTCTTCTCGTAAGTCATTACTTGAAGTTTTAAGCTTTTTCGTCCCCAGACACAATACAAGTAGATTGAAAGAAGACAGTCCCGGTACATTATGTATAAGAAAAGAGCAGAGAAACGAAAATGAACTAAGATAGATAGGAATGAAAATAAAATAGAATATTTTTGATACATTACACACCTATGGGGAGTCTTTGTTTGTTTGTTTTGTTTTATTTATTTCTCTCTCACTATGTCTCTGTGTCCGTCTCTGTCTATGTCAGTCTGTCTGTCTGTCTGTCTGTCTGTCTGTCTGTCTGTCTGTCTGTCTGTCTGTCTGTCTGTCTGTATGTGTGTATGTGTGTATGTGTGTGATCTCTCTCTCTCTCTCTCTCTCTCTCTCTCTCTCTCTCTATCCCTCTATCTATCTTTCTATCCCTCTATCTATCTCTCTATCCCTCTATCTATCTCTCTTTCTCTTCCTCCCCATCTCTCTCTCCCTCTCCCTCTCCCTCCACCTCCCCATCCCCATCCCCCTCTACCTCTCCCTCTTTCTCTTTCTCTCTCCTTCTCTTTTTCCCTCTCCTCCTTCTTCCCTCTTTCTAGTTCATATCACCAAACCACTTAAGAAAATATAAATTGGATCTAATGATGCAATCCCACTGTAGTTATTGATCCCCGTGGTAGGTGTAACAGAATAACTAACGGTCTACCGCCCTCCTCAGGTTAACGCCATCTTCCTCGTCTACGCCATGACCACAGTGTGCCGACACTCTGACTACGTGTTCAACGCTAAGGATAAGTCCACCAGCAGTGGCATCAGGTAGGCCTACACTTTGGGGTGCTGGGTGGGCCATGGAATAAACCCGCGATATTTGCAACTTGTTTGGGTGTTTTTTTTAAGGAATTTAATTTAAATGTAAAATCCTGGCTAAACGCAAACAGATCATTACAAACGCGGATCTCACGTTACATAATGCTGGTGGTTCTTTTGTTTTATGTGGTTAATGTTTTCTTTTGGTAGGTTTTTTGTTTTGTTTTTTGCTTGTTTTTGTTTGTTTGTTTGTTGGGGGGGAGGTTCGGTGGTTGCTTTTTTTGGAGAATGTTGGGTGGGTTGTTTTGTTTTGGTTGGGTTTTTGTTTTGTTTTGGGTTTTTTTGTTTTGCCTACGGGATCTGCAGTCGACAGATCAACTCAATAAAAACATGTTCGGCTTGGTAATGAGAAAACTGTTCGAGACTAAGGGAGCGATGGCCTACTGTCTGTTCTGCTATTCAAAGATGGTGAGGAAGAGGAGGACGATGATGATTGGGGATTCTGGGAAAAGGAGAAAGAGGAAGATTTGCTGATTATGGTGCATGGAGGAGGAGGAGGAGGAGGAGGAGGAGGAGAAAGTGGATGACGAGGTAGAAGAGGAGATCAGGGAGAAGATGTGGGAAGAGGTGGAAGAGGAGGAAGGGGGGAAGGAGACGATGGAGTAAGAGATAAAAAACAATGTCGGGGATGACTAGAAGTAGGGGGAGGGGCTTCACAGTGTTGAAATAGGTGTGTCAAAAATGCTCCATTTCAAAGTAAATCAATGGCATCATTTTTTTCTTTTTTGTTCCATGTTCTATTTTTTCTTACGGAGCCAAGTGTCATCACTGACTTTTTTTTAATGAAAAAAATGTGCATCGTCATAATGTCAGTTATGCCTAACTTTACTGGGCCTTTTCTTTCTCTTGCATGAGTGGGAACAAAAGAGCAATGTTTTGCTGCCATGAATTAATGATGATGTGTCTGACGATGTTCGTAGTGATAATGCAGGAGATGCGAAGACCTTATTAAAATCCTGCTGCTGTTGCTTCTGCAGTTGCTATTGCTGCTGCTGCTGCTGCTGCTGCTGCCATTTATGCTATCTTTTCGTTAATGGCGTTGCTGCTTTTGCTACTGATCATGTTAACATCAAAGGCATCATAATATGATTTTTTCTTAAAATTCCTTTTCAGAGCTTGGGTTCAGGGAGCACTGGCTATGGAGGTTCTGTTGGGCCTGACCTGGATGTTCGGCTATTTCCTGATCAATGACAACAGCATCGCTGTGGCCTACGTATTCACAATACTCAACAGCCTCCAGGGGCTCTTCATCTTTTTCTTCCATTGCATCCTGAACAAGAAGGTCAGTGAGAGGGGATTGTTTGGAAAACGTGAAGTGATACTTTGTTGTCTTTTGTCCTTTCTGAGAAAAATATCGCCACAATCCCCTGATTCGGCCTGTTTATTTCTTTCCAATTAGCCTCGTTAATAAGTCCTCTGGTGTGTTTGGGGGGGGGGGGGGAGAGAGAGAGAGAGAGAGAGAGAGAGAGAGAGAGAGAGAGAGAGAGAGAGAGAGAGAGAGAGAGAGAGAGAGAGAGAGAGGCTCTTCGGTAGGTGCTAAACCTCTATCATCCACTCACGTCGTAGTTCATTGTCTTCGATGGATATATACCTTTCTTTGAAAGCCGCCTCGATTTCCAGTAATACCTTTGACCGATTTTTGTGATAGCATCAGGATGGTAATGATATATGTTTGCGTTGTTGATACAGGCAGATAGAAGCTAGAAACAAAAATTCAGAAAGATTATACAAAGACTAGTCTTTGCTACTTTTGTCTTTCTTTATATTTTTTTTAAGACATAGAGGTTGCATGGCTTGGAGTTATGCTCACCATAAATTCATTTTCGTAAAATAAAATACAAAAAACTCCTCCATTAGGCCCACTTTAAAGATTTGGGTCTTTTAACCCATGGACAACTCATTGTTCATTTGAATTCGATTTTTTTTAAATTTCTTATTATCATAGTTTAAAGTGAATCAAAATTTAGTCACTGGCGTCTGCGGTGAGGCAATTAGCCGCTTTGCTGTCCCATGCAAAAGACCTGAGTTTGGTTCCCGAGTGGGAAGAAGATTTCTATTGAGTATATTGGTCTTTCTGCCGGGATGTATCCCTCTCAGCCCGGGTTGGCTCTGACAGGCAGTGTTGGAAGCACGCTTCCGAAATGATTTAAACGTTGTAGATTGAGGCGTAAAGACACCCACTTTAAAAATGTCATAATTCAATTTTCTTTTTACTTATTAATAGCAAGCCACTTATTGTTTACTTGTGTCCATTTCATGAATTGTTTGTATACATGTATCAAATACTGACGCTAACTGCCCCATCTCTCTGCAGGCCCAGAAGGAGTACAGGCGAGTGATGAAGATCACAGTGAAGAGGACCCCAAGCACCACTCAGTCCACCCTCACCAAACGAACTGGACACACCAGTGACCACCAGGAACTGAACCAAAGCACCAGTGCGAACAGCAACAGCAACGGACATGCTAATGGGGTCAACGGGGTCAACGGGGTCAACGGGGTCAATGGAAACCACTCTATGGCCTGAGGAACTGAGGGAAACGTAAAATACATGCTACAAATAAGGCATGATATTGTTTACGTTGACTAAGAGAACAGAAGTCGAAATGTACCACCTTCAAATGTTGTAGCCAGCTCCAGATAGGATTGTCTCTTTCAAAGCAAAAAATGAATATTTTTCACACAGGATTAGAACTGGCACAACACAGCCAAGTGCATCAGGGGCATCTTGATGTTTTAAAAATTGTTTAGTTTCCATTCAAATATTAAAAATTGTTGTCTTTCCTTAATGTAAAAGATAGATGCGGAACGATATCAGTAACTTAAGGCTACTATTAACCCTGTGCCCACTGTTTTAACCTCACTTTCGATTATATTTCTCTTGGTAAGTTACCCATTTCAGGATGGTTTGTAACAGCTTTGATGTGCATTAGAATTGTATTTTCATCCCGAAAAAGAATACATTCTATAGTATACTACAAAGAATGTTAGCTTTAATTCGTTCAGTTAAGACCAAACCCATAACTTTTTTTAGTATGTGTATATCATCCCATGGTAGCCATGATCACCCAAGTACATTGTCATGTGAAGAAATGTTTCATTCTATTTAAAAAACTTATCCCGTTGTTTCTTTTTGGAAATTTGAAAGACACTTCTTAGACTTAGAGACCAGCGTATGTACTCGTAGTCACATGGTGAAGCCCTTTACTTTTGCAGGCAGAAGAGATGATTTTGATTCCTTAGCGGGGAAGTTTTTTGATCAAGTACCTCTGTCTCTTCACTGAGATGCTAGGCGATATCCCGCTTAGTCCTTATTGCCCCTAACAGACAAGGCCAAAGCAGCCAACCTCTTAAATGATATAAATTGTGTCTATGGGAGGAGTGAGACATTCACAATCATTACAAGCAATCGCACATTTTAATGCAAATTTTACAATAACATGCTATATGAAGTTAGCTTATAAGATTGCTAGTTTTTGTGATAAGATTATAAGATTAGTTTTTGCAAGATTTGGCAGATTATGAACTAACGTTTATATATGTGTGTGTTATTCACGTTGCTTAAGTCACACACATCTCTTTACAAGCTGAAACACCAAAGACCTGAAATGGTAGCAAAAATTCCTCTGTATCCTAAAATTTTACTTTTTTAGGTTTCCTGTTAACATTTAATTTGCGTAAAATGCTGTATCTTAACTAATCTAAACATGAAATTTAGAAAAGTAAAAATATTCAAGTGCTTTGAATACTACGAAGCAAAAAAATGCACATAATTATTATTATATTATATGCAGCAAAATATATGTACAATCTCAAAACTGCACAATGCTTGAACTGTTTCTAAATGAGGTTCTTTTTATTTCACACTGTTTTCATTTCCTTGCAGAGTGTATGCCTCTTGACATATATTGTTATCATATCTTTTGCTGCGTAATATTTTCCCCAGCTTGACATGTTTTTAACAAGACAATCCTCGTTGCTCATGAACGATATATTTCTTCTACATCTGATTGCCATTTTACTTCACCCAAAGCAATTTTTAATTTCTTTACTGACCAAACAAGAGACATACAGAGGAACATTTATCCAGGGATCAAACTTTGTTTTAGTATTGATAAACTTTTAAAAAATTGATGCTGCAAGGTAAAAACATCAGTCGCCACCAAATTTTATTATTATGAACGTGTAAGGGTGTTTTGTGTGAGCAGGCGAGAGAATGCGCAAGAGAAGGAGAGAATGCGCAAGAGAAGGAGAGAGAGAGAGAGAGAGAGAGAGAAAGATTGTGTGTTTGTGATTTACATCAATTATGTACAGATTAACTGACTGACAGACAGACACGCAGAGAAACAGAGAGGAAATCAAAGAAGGCAGGGATTGTGTTATCATTTTGAAATGCGAGTACTTTGGGAATCTGACTAAGAATTTCCCAGGAGGAGTGAGGAGAAGATAAGTATCAACACAAAGCAAGCAAAGCAACAGAACCATAAATTACTTAAGAATGGATTGATGTGCAGGCTGTGCGGGTATTTTCTGCACCCATTTGCCAACTACCTTTTGAGAAGATTTTCTTTCACCTTCGGACCAGGCACTTTAGCACCATTTCAAGATGTCTGTTATCATACTTTTTTTCTGTGCTTGTAAAGGTGCACACAACTGAGTCTCCGAATTATAAATTAAATACATGTGAAACCAAGCCATCATCGACTCCGGATTTTTGGTTCGTTAAAAACCCAGTTTGAACTTACAAAAAGATTCTAAATATAGAAAAATGCACAACAACAATAAAGCACAAATGTCGATAGATTGACTGTTTTATTATTAGACTAAAGTGATAATTTTGATAAACGGAAGTCCTTGTGTCAAATTATCTTCTGTCCAAAAGTAACGAAAGTTACAAACATGTAATAAAAAGGGAAACACTGGCTTTATCGGCAATCTTGACTTAAATTTTTTGAGGGGGTCGCAATCGGAAAAAATCTATCATTCGAAAAGTATTTAAGGTATCTACCTAATTTTTGGTACATTGATAGCTGAAACATTATTCTAATGAATAAAGCTCTGAGTTTTTAAAAAGACCAAAATTAAATGGTTTTATTACAGATTTTATCAGCTGCCACTCTCCATCTTTTTTGTGGTTGAAATGTTTCCCTAATTTGAACCTTGATTCTGAAAAACTTTCTTTTCCTACATCAAAAATGCCAGTTTTATCCACTAAAACAGCCACAGTATGCTACAAAATCGCATAAAATACCCATTTGGTGCCATTTATAACCTTATGATAGATTTTTAAAGAAATGTATACATTTTCTGTACATGACATTCCAATATGGCAGCCGTTACCATAGCAACACAACATTTTTTTCAAAATTTTACTTCTGGCCCAATTCTCCACTCTATTTATGTTGATGCTACCATATTTGTAAGCTTAGTTTCTTCTTATTAATGAATTTCAAAATTTCCCCCGCATCATGCCTTAAAAGAGGAATGCGACATTTTGTATACTTGATATTATTATTAGAAGTAAGGAATTCAGACAACAGTGTCACCAGATCAACCAATAATACTCAGATGGCTATTTAAGATTTCTGGTGTATGAAAATGTAGAGTTTCCTTTTTGTTAAAGAATCGATTCATCTAAAGAAAAAAGTAAATTGTGTGTGTGTGTGTGTGTGTGTGTGTGTGTGTGTGTGTGTGTGTGTGTGTGAGTGTGTGTGTGTGTGGTCAGAAAGATGACATAAATTAATATTTTTTCCTCTTCAATTTTGTTTAAATATCTAGTGTTCTAACGCGTTTACAGAGTGCACATACTTAACATGTTTATGTGAGTGCTGTGTTTGTTGTAATACTCTGTTTTGACACATATCGACGGTTTGGTTCATGAAGCATGTATTCCACATTTCTAAAGAGAAAAAAACCATCAACCCTCAGGCCCTTACAAATGGGCCTACGTGATCCCGAAAACAAGCATCATTTCCCAGTTGAATCCAATTGCTTATCTTATACGTACCTAAGAATACAAAGTAAGAATGGGTTTGTCTATGTAGGAAAAACGAATGGTGTTGAGATTAGTTCAAATGAGGTTTAGGGAGGAGGTTTGGGGGGGGGGGGGAGAGAGTGGGGTTAGTTCCCCTTTTTGTAAAGAAGGCTGCGGGTTTCTTGAAAAGCGCCGTCGATGTGTGATTTGCCATTGATGTAATCTTTTGACAGAACTACGACATGCCTGTGGAGATAGGCTTCATTCTTTCTGTGTTCTTGTTGTCTTCTTTGTAATGTATTGAGACTATATTAATATTCCATCAGTGTGCTGAAGTTGTTTATAATAATATATCAATGAATGGTAGTGCTTGTGTAGAATGAACTTTACTTATTTTCAGAATTTAATAAAAACGTTATGTTATTTTTCAGTATTATTATTGATGAGAAATATAGACTGTGTTTTGTACATGGTGTTGAGAATGTGTCATGCATTTTGAAGTATGAGTCTCTGCAGCCACATTATGATTTTCCATTACTTTGTTCAGAATATTTTAGATGTACATTGAGCTTTTTATTTTCAAGTACAAGTTTTTTGTTTGTTTTTGGTTTTTGGTTTTTCATTTGTAGATTTACTTATTTCACATTGCCTATTTGTAACTATTTATTTGGAATAAAATGAGAGTCTGAAAAAAGGTCATTGTGGGTTTTTTGGGGTGTGTTTTTTCTTTTTGTTGTCGTTGTTTTTTTTCTTTAAAAAAAAAAATTAATCCCCCCTTGACAACATCTAAAGTGAACTCCTCCTAGCAATGAGGATGGTGTATAAACAAATTCTGGACTTAAAAAATGGCAATTAAAATAATAATAATATATTTTGTTGAGAAAGAAAACAATCAACTTAAGGGAGAGGCAGCCTAGACAGAAGGGGAGACTTCATGTGCCAAGGGAGCAATGTTTAAAATATTTTCCATTCAAAATGTCCTCGAGGCAGAATCACACTTTTGTTTTACTTCAAGTAATACTTGTAATGTTATTGCCCTCTTTCAAAGTACTCCAACAAACTATGACTACATTACTGCTGGCTTCCTGGTAGACGGATTATTGTAGGGGCATAAGTATAATTTTTATTCATTCACATTTTAATCTCATTTTGAAGTCTTTCATTTTTCGTCTCCGTTATTTTCTGTAAAGTAATCATGCAACAATCCATTTATCAATAAAAATGAAGTCGTTTTTTGTTCTGCTTTTTAAATTTTTTTTTAATTTGACTATATATTTGAACGTTCTTTGTGTTCTAGTCATAGATTACTTTTAGTGCTACGAGCAAGCTTTCAAGCATCAGCATATTTTAAGGTCGTTTAAATAATGGCCCTCATAACACTAGATTCTATACAGATGTACATTTTTTTACCCTTAATAAATGTTCATTTTGCGCTTTCATTATATTGAAAAGAATTGGCGCATATTTTGTTAAATCCTATCATCATCATCATCATCATCGTCATCATCATCACCATCATCACCATGTCATCATCATCGTCGTCATCATAATCATCACCATCATAATAATCATCATCATCATCGTTGTAGGTAGCAGGGAATAAAAAAAGGGTTTGAGACTTAGTAGATTTTTCAAATTAAATATAAGTTCAACGTTTCGCCCTGTAAAGGGTTTCGTCAGGAACATGTACAAAAAATCTCTCATCATCATCATCATCATAGTCAGTTAAGCAAGCAGAACAAAAAATGAGTCTTACATATAGGCATATAATTCCATACACTTTAATATTGAAAGTACACATCATCATCATCGTCGCCGTCGTCGTTGTTATCATTGTCATCGCACAATCGCCCCTTTCCACTGACAGGTCTTTACAATTTTCTTTTTCTTCTTTTTCTGTATTTTGATTTTGTTTATCTATCCTGTTTTTCCCTGAACTGAATTAGTGATTTCAATTGCTGAATAATTATATATTTTACAAGTTATTTAAAATACACTGTTTCTTTTTGTGGTTTATATTCTTTGTATCTCTATTTTTTCTTTCTTTCTTTTGGGGGGGAGGGGGGAGTACCTTTTGTAAAGAAGAGAGTAAGACTGTAAGCCTATCAGATTGTTGGAAGTAGTTCATTTATTTTAATTTAACTCCTCACAATTTGCATTTTATGGGGTGCACGTGCAAATGCACATATACACATGTTTGAACTTTGGAAGTTAAATTATTTTAAATTGCACCTGCTGAATGCTGAAAAAAAAGACCTGTACATTTATGGCAGGATGTCATGGCAAACTATCGTCTTTAGATAACTGTATTGTGTACACACCCTTTTAGAAATTCTTTCGTTCATGTTATGTTATGCCTGATGGGTCACAATCTTTTTGTCACATTAAACAATCTGCTTAAACCAAAAAAAAAAGCCTTTATTTTTATATGCACGCATGTTAATTGAAGATAGAATAAGGCTTCTGATAAATCGTCTACCGCATCAGTCACATTCGTCGAAACGGTTTTGTTTCAGGACTTGCATAATGTGTGTTTACCCTTTATATTTTAAAGCAGCTTGGCAAGTATTATGCAATATTCATTCAATATCTTTTTGACATACATATATATGATGTTATTATTAGTTCACATTATTTCCGATTTCCTGTAACATTTTTCAGGGTGTACCAATACTTATTTGTTTTAAGAAAATTCACGGGGGGGCAATTTATCAACGTTAAACGAACAATATATTATTATGAACAAAAGAGCCGTTATTATGTATTAAGTACTGTTAGATTATACAGTAAAAATCTCTCTCTTTCTCGCTCTACCTCTCTCTCTCTTTCTCCCCCCCCCCTCTCTCTCTCTTTCTCCCCCCCCTCTCTCTCTCTCTCTCTCTCTCTCTCTCTCTCTCTCTCTAATATATATATATATTGTGTGCATCTACTTCCATATCATTCAAAGCTCCGTAGCCATCGTTTTCTGCTTGCAAGTTTGTCAAGAAACAATATCAAGGTTCACACTCAATGCTTTTGTTAGAATAAAGCGGAAATAATATGATTGCAGAACTGTTTGCACACAGATTTTGAAATAAATGTAATGTATTCTGAGGCATATTTCGTGACTTCTGGTTGTGTCTCGGAAGTAAACATTTTCAGCATTTCTGTTTCTTCTTCAACTCGTTCAGAGGCCGTAAATTAGTGTATTTCTACAATAACCATTGGACAAGTGTCGCAACCGTACCTTAATTAACGCAGACCATGTTATAGCCCTCGTCTTCATGACAAAATTCTGGCGTCTTTGGTGTTGTTATGGTAATGCACTTTGCCTTTTAGGCATGCATACCGAGAAAGAGTAGGGGTGGGGGGGGCATTTTATCAAGTATATTGTACTTCTGTCTATCTGCTTCAGGTTATTCCAGGCAGCCCGGTAGTTTGGCCACCGGCGTCTGTAGCTGTTAGGAGCTTCGCTGTTGCACAAAAGAGACCCAAGTTCGATACCCTAGTGGGGAAAACTTTTATGGAATATCTCGGTTTTTCAGCTGGGATGTTGTATCCCTTTCAGCAGGGGTTGACTATGACAGGCAGCGTCAGAAGCCCGGCTCTTAAAATGACCTAAAGTGTGTCGGTGGTGGCGCAAAGACACCTACATTAAAATAGAGTTGGGCTAGCTCAGAGTAGGTAGGGCCAAGGTGATTCGCCTGTGCTGTGGTCTACATTGTGTCGATGGAAAGTAAAATACAGTCGAACTTATCAAAGACAACCGCCCATTTTCGAGGGGGAAATTGGTCAGTTCAGACAGGTGGTTGTGCCATGATGATTGCAAAAACGCCAGGGGGCATCTGTGGGGGGAGGGGGTGGGGGTGGGAAGAGATCGTTTGAACAGGTGATTTTCTTGAACAGGTGGTCGTTGGAGCAGTTCGACTGTCTTTTTTAACAAATTAAAGAAGAGAAATAATGAACAAACTAATCAACTAGTATGTGTTTTACGGCGCTCACAACTGCATAAGGTCATATGAGTGCGCGGGACACATTGAGTAAACATATTTACAGTTGGTAGGAAATTTTGAATTTTCCCTTGGCGGCGGCCAAAGCCTACCCTTTGCGATTTTGGACCACCAAGGGATCTTTAACGTGCGCAACTTGCTCACGGGACCTCCGAGATTTTCCGCCATTGTCCGAGGAGGCTAGGTGTAGATCTTATACTAGAAGATCAGGGGTGTGGCTGAAAGACAGTAGTAAGGAGCCAAAGAGTAGCAGTAGAAAGGCTGCAGAAAGAGTCAGGAGCCCATACAAGGGGGAAAAGGAAGTGTGGGAGTGGGGGGGCAGAAAGCGAAAACGAAAGCAGACGACAGAACATTGTTAGAGATCAGGAAGTCTGTGAAAGTGAAGGGAGAGAACGTTTTTAGAAGAAAATTTTCCATCGCTGTCCGAATTCGAACCCGCGACCTATTGATGAGAGGCGAAAACCTTTAACTTAACCACAAGACCACAAGAGCCCCAGACCAACAACCGTATCTATGCAATGCATTTCGTCTGTTCCAGGATATGGTGGCTTCATCGTGTCACGGTGTGATCAAGTCTCCCGTGTTAATACCCCTAGTTTTTGTTCTTTTTTTGGTGTTTTTTTGTTTGTTTAGTTTTGCTTTGTTTTGCTTTGTTTTTTAACTACTTTTTCTCTTCGTCATCCTTCCAGACTTCTAGGATTGGGCACAACATTTTAGTTTTAGTAACAGTTTATGCCACACGCAAAATAATTAGGTCCTTTAAGTGCGAAAGATTAGGGGGTTTTACAAGAGAGTAACAAACGCAAAAAGGAGGAGATAAACGGACAGTAGATGTTTGAGTTTGATAGGAAAGAAGGAGCAAACCACACCAGAGCACAAATCACCCGCTAACAGGAAACTACGTGTAGGCTTACATGTTATATGTTACTGTTACTGTTACATGTTACATGTTACTGTTACTGTTACAGTCGAAACTGGCCAATACAGCCACGCATTGTCGAGGAGAAAAATGTTTGTCTCAGACAGGTGTACATCTTGGACAGTGTCATATTAGTCATAATATTTTAACAACGTAAGGGGGGAATAGAAAGTAGTCATTTGTAAAGGAGATTGCCTCGACCCATTTTAAATATTTTGAATAGAGCTGTCCCCGTGGTTTTATGCACCCGAATAATTTAGAAAAAAATGTGATCATTTTTTGCATAATTTCTGAATATTTTCCTTTATTAAAATTAACAGAATCGAATAATTTCACATTTTTTGGGCTCAGTTTGCATAATTTCAAAATTGTTCTTGCATAAAACGACAGCAACAGATAGAGTAAGAGAAAAGATATAGGACCTACTACAAGTGGTGCCCTCCAACCACCCAAACTAAACTTAACTAGAACTACAAGTGCTTTGGAGAGCCCCCCCCCCCCTCCCCCCAATATATAAATAAATAAATAAATAAATAAATAAATAAATAAATAAATAAATAAATAAATAAATAAATAAATAAATAAATAAAATACTTTAAATTGACATGATGTGTGAATACACGGATAAAGCAGGTGCATGTTTGTTGTTGGTGGGGGCGGGAGGGTTGTCCCTTGCTCATTTCTATGAGATTGACGCCATCTGATAAGTATTAGTCAAAAAAGGTTCGTACTGCAGTGTCCAATAGTGTACATGTATTACGAACATAGTTGTTATAACATGTAACTGTTACAAATAGAGATTCAAAGAAAATAGATGAAAGTCAATGGTCTGAGAGCAATGATGATTTGAGATATGATAGTGGTGGTGAGTGATGATGTGGGATGGTGTTTATGGTTGGGGTTTTTTTTTTGGTTTTTGTTGTTTGTTTTGTTTGTTTGTTGGGTTTTTTGAGGGGAAGAGGGGGTTATCCCTTGCCCATTTATATATGAGACTGACGCCATCTGATTAGTAGAAAAAAGAGCGTATGATAGAGCCCAAAAGCGCATTACGAGCATACTTAGTATGACATGCATCTGTTACAAGATAGAGATTCAAGAATTATAGATGTAAGTTAATGATCTGAGAGCAATTATGATTTTAATAATAATGGTGGTGATGAGTGATGAAGTGGGATTGCGTTTAAATAAAGTTAGCGTTAGCCTATTTTATCTTCCTCTGCTTCAATAAGTCACGAGGGACGTGGACATCCTCTATCCGGTTCCCTACTGGAACCATCTTTAATGGCACCGTGAAGTTCCTGACATTATTAGTTTTGGCCTATTCTATCAGGCCAAGACAAGTGTCGAGAGGACCTAAGTGGGAAGACAGTATAGTGGCAGGTATGTTGGGGTATTCCTATGCGGGTTGTAGGTAGAAAGTTGACAAACAGGTTATGAACTTTTAAAATGTAACATTCTACTCAGTGATAATTACCCTGAATAATATTCTTTTCGCATCCTATTAAAAAGCTTGCGGAGATTCTGACTCAGGATCCTCAAACCTGAGTCGAGAGGGCACAATTTAGACAATATTGTATCCCCTCGCATCAGGGGGAGCGACCTCAAACTCCCAAATCAAGTACACTGTCTCTGAATCCCCAAGGTCTTGTTCAAGATTGGTATAATTCCAATGCTAACGTTTGTGCAGATGCTGGATAGAAATGACATGAGAGAAGGAGGGAGAGAAGGGAGGGGGATGGCGAGAGTGGAGAGGCTTAGTGGCGAGCAATGAGTATGCCGGGGATGATATAAAGATATAGGGCTGGGGATGGTGTTTATGTAATATTAGCGTTAGTTCTATGTTCCTCTGCCCCAATGAGTCAAGAGGGACATGGGCACCCTCCATCTCGTTCCTTACTGGAACCATCTTTAATGTCACCATAAGTACTGAAATGGTAGGCACAGTGGGTTTGCTTTTTCTTTTTAATAGAAAGTCAGAAAGGACATTCCTATCTTCAAATATCACACACTAAGTGCACATCACAAGTGGTATCCTATAACACACCACCAATACACCTCAATGGGGAATGTCACAAGCTAGGTCAAGTTTCGGATTTTCGTCGTTGTCAGTGTCAGGTTTCGATTCCGGGACATAATGAATGAGAAGCGAACACCGTATCTCTGGACCATGAAAGCCTCACACTACAGCTATGACAATAAAAACACTATTATAATGAACAAGATCGAGTGAGCAAACAGAGATGCCGAAAAAAATCAGGGGAGTGAGCCCTGGAATTACTAATGCAACTATTTCCCTAGTGGTTCTCCTGAGACCAACATTGCAACAATTCTAAAAAAATTTATGAAAGAAACACACATTTGCAGCATTGATATTTATTAATAACACTTGGCGCAATCACATTACTTTTTACAGGGCAGTTTTCTTTCGTTCGGTTATATTTTTCTTTCTTCTTTTTTTTAAGGGGTGGGGGGGGGGGAGAGACAGGCATTCGGTCAGAAAGAGTAGGTAATCAAAGCCATATCCTGTACATGACTGTACTTAAACTATGGGCTCTTGACCTCATGTACTAAAATAAGATGAAGTCTGAATAGGATAACACTATCAGCCAAAAAAAGTTCCTAATGCTGGCAGCCAAAATACATGGCGTTCATATTCATAACAGTAACACAGCCTTAGATCTTAACAAATGTCTCGATACAACATAATCAATGCACATACATTTTAAAGTTAATGCCCAAAACACGGGAAATGAAGCACATATATTTTACATATAACACTAACAGCCAGTTAATAAACAATTGCATTCCAGAAAGATCTCTCTCTCTCTCTCTCTGCCTCTCTCTCTCCCTGCCTCTCTCTCTCTCTGCCTCTGCCTCTCTCTCTCTCCTCTCTCTCCTCTCTCTCTCTCTCTCTCTCTCTCTCTCTCTCTCCCCCCCCCCCCCCCCCCCAGGAGAGATCAGCATACCAGAGTCCAAGGTTATATCCAGCTGGGACACACACAGAATACATGCACTCAAGCACACACAGCATGCATGCACGCACACACACACACACACCGTCATAAACACATGCAGCATAACAGACACTATCACGCAAACACATACGTAAATAAATACATATACATAAGCTTTGTCAAAGCCAATGTTACCAGTTCTGAAGTCCTGCCTCTAGATCCACACCTAAGTGTGAACGCCAAATCCAAACGAATTACACATTTCATTTAATTTTAAGGTATTTTTTAGCACACGGGCATATGTGGGGCATTGTGGTGAAACCAGGCGCTCGTCAAAATAATGAAATCGAAGAAAACAGCATTTTTCTGACAATTTGGCAATTGGGGGGGGGGGGGTCGTCTGATTTTTTGGCTCAACACTTTTAATGTCTATCTAAAAACACATGTCTGTGTTAATGTTACAGAAAAACGTTGAAAAAGGTACAAAAAATGTAAAATTTCATTTCCCAAGGACTCTCAAGCTATGAAAGTCACCAAATTTTGAAGGCCATTTTCTCGCTAGTTTTACCTCTGACACCAAGCGACCTCCACCTCTTTCAATCGCAAATATCTCCACTTCTATTCAAGATAGATGGGGGGGGTTTGCCACATGCAAGACAAATGAACAAGCTTTAAGATGATACCAACAGCTCCACATGTCCATAAAATGTCCATTAACTGACGAGCACCTGATTCCACCGCCTCATGACACATATTTTTCTTGTGTTTTCCACGATGAATTTTCATCTGCAGTACAAACCACCGGTAAATTTCTGCGTCTCATACGTTTTATGTTCTCATTAAAAATAAACACAAATTGTCAATCTATTCAGAAAGTCAATGGCTGGTTCACTAAATGCATTCTTATCAATTTTAGCACAACAGGAAACCTGAATATTGCTTCTGCACCAAGAAAAGCTTCTCATTTCCATCAACAAAATGCTGGAGAATCACATGATTAGAGGACTGGACATCCAAAAAATATTTTGAAGGACCTCAAACCCAATTGCTTTGCACACAACATCATTCACAGAGCTCAATCTTTTTTTTTTCCTAAAAATCTTACCATCACCCATCATCATGATACTTTTTTTCTTTTTCTTTTTTTTAGTTACATCAGTTCCATTTTTTCAAATTCTACAAATTTATACAATTTTACCTTTCTAACCTATTTCACCTTCCATTTATTTTTTTTTTAAAAACAAGAGTCCACTCCCTTCCATCCAAAAATTTAGAATCATCTTTTTTTCTTTTGCTTTGGAGCATTATCTAGTCCTGTCACATATCGTCTTGGTATCTTGTATTTATCTGCAAAAAGAACAAAAGTTGAGAGATAAATAACAGTGATAATTATGTACGGTAAATTTTCTTTACTCTTACACAGAATAAGACCTAGATTTTATGTTTTATTTTTTAGTAGAGGTTTTACAGCGCTTGCAACTGCACAAGGTCATAGGAGCACCAAGGGATGGACGTCAACAGAAAAGTCCCTACAGGGAATCAGGCTTACTTTGCTCACCTCTCTAGCTTCAACAGCACAAAGTCTGATTTGACTATCAAATTTAGTGAAATTTAGTGCTTTTAGAGGATTGAAAATGGCATTTAGGAGCCTGTTTGAAGAGAATGCCTACAACTACAACCCATAACATTTATTTGCCAAAAAGTTTTTTTCTGACAGTTATTTTCTGTCTAAGATAACAAGCCAATTAACTTGATCAATGCGCAGATTTTCCAGCCGCAGCAACAATCCGAAGATAAAGAGAATGAATGAGTGAATTATAAAAAGGAGGAAAGTGGCACAAAAAGTTTGCCAGATTTTGATCAATCTGATGATAAAAATGTACAGCCGACCAATCCGCAATGGATGCATGGGGCATAGCGGAATAATGGCCGATTGCAGGAAATGCGCAATCTGGTAGTATAACATTAACTAGACCTGCATGTGAGCCTCAACCAGATTGTCTGAAAATTTTGCAACCCCCCCCCCCCACCCCAAAAAAAAAGCCTTTGTGGGTGTCATAAAGAAGAACATCCGAGTAACGAGCGACCACCCCAACAAACACAATAAAGAAGAGACCTAACCGTAACCCTACCCCCAAAAAGAACCTGCAACGGGCATCATGTAAAAAGGCCAAAACATGTCCTAAATGAAAAAAAAAATTAAATTAAAAAAACCACACTCCAAAACAAACAAGGAGCATATAGATCTAGATCTAGATTCTAGATCTATATATGGCTTACATCTACATTGCTATAGGGTTTGATACAATAACACAATAGAATTGGAATATATAATATGAATCCTTCATATATATATCTAGATCTAGATCTTGTAGAACAAGTGAATAGGAATAGGCCTTGAACTAGAAATCCACATCCGATTCCGAACAGAGGGACTCAGCTGAGTCTAGATTCTAGATCTACATCTAGATTCTAGATCTTTACTAAATAAATAAACAATTCACGCACCTGATGAAATGCTTATTTTTACCAATATAAAGATTACAGCACAACCTATGATAGGGTTTGACACAATAGAATTGGAATATGAATCCTCCATTGAGGTCTATAATGATCTATATAAATCTAGATCTAGATATAGATTCTATTAGAACAAGAGAGTCGGACTTGAATGAATCCACACGATCTGAACAATTGAATTAGTCAACAAACAAAATTCAAAATGGCCGCTTGAGCACGAAACTGAAAGTAGATCATTTAAGTTGTCGTCCTTTTTCGTATTCGCTTTTCTACTTAGGTTCCGACAATTATGTCGGAAACGCCGACGTCGGCAGTCGGCGGTGCGCGCGTCGGCGGTCGGCACGAAAACGAAAGTGCCGACGAAGCCGACAGGAGAAAAATGGGTCACTGGCAGTCGGCCAGGCCTCGCACTACGCACATTGACTGATACAGGCGGGCCTAGCGATAGCATCGGCCGGTTCGCGAGTCGGGTCGCGATTGTCGGATTTCAGACGATTGTCGGCAAACATGCAGGTCTAATTAACTTATTGCCGAGAAAATTACTGTAAATATCCGTAACTTATACAAGACAATAGGAAGGCGAGTATGGATCTTTTGCTACAGAATTTCGGTAGTCCTACGCTTTCACAGTTTTTTACGGAGGGAGTTGATAACGATGGAGGAACAAGTACGGAACTGGCAGAAAGTACGGATTTCCGTAAAAATATGGAAGAGTGGAAGCACTGTGGGATAAAGAATAGAAAAATTGGTGAAATTTGTTAACCGGACACATAAAATTTGCAAAATCACTAGAGTAAATGTATTCCAAACACAAAGGTCTTATAACGAGTGGCAGGAGAGCCTTCTGCTCTGTTCAAATTATTTGACAATAATAAGTGTATTGAAACAGAGATCCTTCTTAACTGGTTAAATGATTTTTTATCCGCAAGCCCAGAAAAAGCGATCGAAAAATGAGTGGGCCATTTTGTGCACAGTCAGATAAACGATAATCCTGAGTTCGGCACAACAGGCGCTGGTGGAACTGAAATTCATAGACAAGAAGTGGCTACATGACAGGCGAGGCCCAAAGATGGGCCAGCTATCATAGTGTCGGGGCTGTCGCTCAATAGACCTAGATCTGGCGCTCATATGATCTTATGCAGTTGTGAGCGCCGTAAAACCTCTACTAAAAAAAAAAAGACCTAGGTCTAGGCATACTTATTTACTGAAGAGTCGTGAAACAAGCTAATGGGTAGCGAACATAGAATGTCAAAATGATAGAATCAACATGTGCTCGATATGTGTATTATTTCTTGGCAAGGTGCTGAATGGACTGATTCAACATAGTCACTGTGACATCATGAATGAGCCAGCCAAGATCAACATTGCTGGCTCAGCATCACGAAAGAGCAGCGTCTTGCTTGAGCAGCGAATAATGAATATTTGCAGTGCATTGATCAACTCCACCCACCTGCAGTCTGATACAACAAGTTTATTCACTCGTTATTTGCGGACTTTAGCCACAAGCGCTCGTTTATTTGTGAATAAACATATCTGCGGTTAAAACTCAAACACTAATCTTACCCCCCCCCCCCCCCATTTCATTTGAGAAATGCACAAGGCAAACGACAGAGCAGGCAATGTCTTCTTCTTCTTCTTCTCGATCGCATCACACTTCTTCTTCTTCTTCTTCTCGATCGCATCACACTTGAAGTCTGGTATCTGTCATAAATTGGGCCGTCCTGCTCAGTTCATGTCGGCCCGTATAGCTTCTCTTGTAGTGTCAGTGGGGTTGGCCACGTTTCCTGTCTCAGGGCCCTGTGTGTCTTGCAGTGCTGAAGGATGTGTTCAACAGTTTGGTCTGCCTCTCCCCACTGGCATTTTGGTGACTGTGCTACTTTAAAATATCTGTACATATTTGTCTCAGCCTTGTGTGTTGGGTTCTTAGTCAGAAGATAATCACCTGTTCTTGGCGGGGCAGCTCATCGTAGCTATCTGGTGTCTGTGGTGCTTTAAATAGGGTATTTATAATAGTTTTTATTTCTGTGTAGTTAACGCTGTTATCAGGTTGCTCTTTCTGTGTTCCTAGTTTGGCCATCCTGTCTGCCTGCTCATTTCCTAAGACACCACAGTGTGATGGAATCCAGAGCAGCATGATCCTCAGACATGGGACGTCCTCAATCACTTCTCGTAGCCTTGGTAGTTTGCCAGCAGTGATTGCCTGCAGTACTGACGTCAGTTAGGAATACTATTTGGATTTGGGGGTCAAACACATTCTTGATGTTTGCTGCATGTATTAGAGCCTCTGTCTCTGCCCTGTAGTTTGTACAATGTCGCCCTGTTGGGACTGCCTCTGCTTGTCGTCGTCCATTTGGGTAAAGTACATACACTCCGGCTCCTCCTCTTTTCACAGCCATCAGTGACAGATCCGTCCATATAGACCCATGTTTCTTGGGGGTATCTTTCTTCAAGCATGGACAGGGTGAAGGATTTCTTGCTCAGGTCGCTGTGGTCATCTTTTGTGGTGAACATAAGAATGGACGTGTGTATAATTATGTTTGTGTTTTTCTTTTCCCATGATGGTGCCTCTGGGGTATGGTTCAAGCATATTCACTGTGGTTGGTAAATGGTCCTGTAGGGATCTTTGAATTTTTCTGCTTTCTTTGATGAAGTTGGATCTTTTAAGTCTTGTGGTGTTTGATCTGGCTGTTCTTGTGTGCATTACATGATCCTCCATAGCTGTGGCCTTGGTGTACTGTAAGAGGGCCTTGCACTCCCATCTCCTCTGCAGGGCTACTATAGATGTTTGTTCCATCTTTCCTATAGGCGTTGACCTCATTGCTCCAGTGATTATTCAGAGAGCCTGGTTTTTCACTTTTTCCAGAGTGTATTTGTGAGTCTGTGCTGCAGTCATCCATGCACTGGATCCGTACTCCAGATGGGGCCTGATTGCTCCCAGAGAGACCTGTCTAAGTGTTTTCTCATTTGCTCCCCACTGAGTCCCTGCAAGTTTTCTCATGATGTGAAGCTTCTTCCTGGCTTTAGTTTCTGCATTTTGAATGTGTTGTTTCCATGTGAGACGCTTGTCAAAGATTGTTCCAAGACACTTCTGTTGATTCTCAAACTTTAGGGGGGGTTTTGTCCAATGTGAGGTTTTTCAGCTCAGCCTAGCTGAGAGTGAAGAGTGTAGCAGAGGACTTTTCTTTGTTTACAGTTACACACCAGGTTTTTGTCCATGTATTGAGTAGCAGGCAATGTGAAATGAATAAGTCAGCCAAAGAGGTTATTGCAAAATCATGAAAGCCTTCCATCCGAAGGGCCACACAACTATGACTTTAACTCCAACTTTAACTCTGGATATGCCCTTCAACTTAAACTTTGAATATGCACTTTGTCTTTAACCTGAACTATAAACACGCTCTTTAACTTAAACGATGAACAAGCTCCTTTGTAGGTAAGTGCATGGGTCAAATGCCCCTGTCAACACTGTTAGATAATTTAAAAGGTAGAACCTCTGAATTTAATATCTGTCTCCGACAGAACCAAGCCAAATAGGTTGAGAGTCTTGAAAACTCCAGAAAACGACCAAAGTTCAAGAGAATGCCCAGTCTGGGATTCAAACTAGTGCCGTTCGCTCAACAGTCCAGCATAACACCAACCAAGTTAATGGAATGCCCACAAGCTCCATACTTCAATCACGGACTCTTAAGCTAAGGAAATGACTAATCTTTGGTGGCCATTTTCTCACTAATTTTATTTCTGAAAGCAAGTGACATAGCAACAATATCCTTGCTCACCTATGAGTACATTGGCCACAAAGTTGATCTGATTGCCCTGTATCAACACCTGGGGACCTTTATTCTTCTGTTCTGACGGGGCCACCGAGCAGCTACAGGCCAACGAACGCTGCACCAGTCGGGAGAACACCTTGACATCAATGCCATAATCTTCCAGGTTGTCCACTACAGTCACCTGACGAGTAGAAATGAAATATACAAAAGAAGTGAGGGCAAAGGCAGACCAGTACAGTTACACAATGCAGTGGTCTGGTTTAGTTTTAGTCGAAGTTTTGTGGCATTTGCAACACCAATAGGTCAAAGGAGTGCCAAACATTACAGGTGTCCCTAAAGAGTGACATACAAATGTGAGGCAGCATGGTGGAATCAGGCTCTCATCAAAATAATCAAAATGAAGAAACTTGCACTATTCCGCAGGTTTGTGAATTTTTATTAAATTTTTGTTTTTCGGCTCAACAACTTTCATGCCCTTTAAAGAACTCATTTCTGTGTTGATTGTTCTGAAAAACGATTAAAGACACAGAAAAATGTAAATTTTCAGTTACCACGAACTCTTAAGCTAAGAGAAAAACTAACCTTTGGCGGCCATTTTCTCATGAATTTTACCTCTGAAAACAGGTGACCCCCACCTCCTTCTTTAGTAAATATGTCAACTTGTATTCAAGATAAATGGATACTTTTTTCATCCAAGTAAAGACAAGTGAACATGCTTTAAGATGATACCAATAACTCTACAAGCCCAAAAATTGACGAGAGCCTGATTCCACCACGCTGCCTCACAAATACAAAGTAAAGAAGGAGAAGAAATAAGAATGACAGTTATTTGATAGAAAAGAAGGAGCGAACCACACCAGAGCACCCACCAACCGCCTACACAATGCAATGGCTGGGTGCAAGACTGACATACATCAAACTTCAAAAATGGTGTTGCCGAAGTCTGGCATCCAGCCATCGAATGATGGATGCACAGTACAGGATAAAATACTGTTGATGTGTTTAATGCACTTCTCAGGTTATCTAAGAAGCGGCACCTACATTTCAACGACCATTTGTTAAAGGAGTCCGCAAAAAAGTGACCAAAAAAGTCCTATGCAAAAGATGAGGGAACAGAACCAGGAACATGTAAAGTACAACAGAAGTGACATATAATGGCCACCACTACATGAAGATCATTGTTACCCTTCCCTTCTTTGGGCAGGTGAACTTAACTTGAGCAGTACCTTGGTTTATTCTTATTGGAGAGCAATACCAGCTTCACTTTTTTAAAATATTAATTATCATTAAGATACGTAGTCTAAACAAGAAACTCACAAGACAGAACTTTCATTTCAGCCGAGTTTTAAAGGAAGCAAATTCATCATAAGGCTAAATTTAAAAAAACGCAACATAACCTAAATAAATCTTTCCCGGGACCAAAACAACATAACATTGTTTGGTTGCCATGACAACCTTAAAAACACCCTCCGTTTTAACATAAATCTTGGACAGCCTAATTTTTTGCTCTTTTCTGATCCATAAAACTTTGTAATATGACATTTTAAAATGTTTGCATGAAGAAAACAAAGCAACCTTTCACAAAACTGATACAACAACATGAAGAAAAAACTTTAAATGACAGTGATGTGCTAAAGATTCAAAGTCCAAAAGGGCAGGTCAAAGTACTGCAAAAATACAACAAAATATGTAATCAATCAAAAGAAAATATTGACCAAAGAAATCAGACCTTCTTTTGGGAAGCTCTCATGGCCACGTCTAGCTTGATCGGGTCCAGTTTTCCCTTCTTGATGGTTGGAGGGCCAGAGCCAGAGATGATGGCAGTGGCTTGCTGCATCTTGCCCATCACCCTGAGATAAGTGACAAAAGAAAATAAAAAATAAAATTCCTTTTACCATATACTTCTAAAAATTTGTTACAATGACAGGTAAAATGCAAATAAAAAATAATTTTGAGGTTATTTTAACATCCCAAAATGTACAAAACAACACTGACATATATAATGGTACAAAACAAATCCAACAGCGAAGAAGCAAAAGAGACCTATTCCACAAGGTGTGAGTAAAAGGTCCAGTCTAAAGCATAAAACAGGTCAGCCTAGCTATATCAACTAAATGGAAAGTGAGGAAAATAAACTGCAACCACTCTCAGATATGGCCCCTGAGCAATAGGTCTAAAAGAAATTATACCACTACAAAAGCGTCTTGACTCAAAGTGAAAGAATCAAACAGATAACCTACTTAATACTTGTTTGTTTAAGGAAATAATGACTTGATAGTTTGAGGAATCCAACAGACATTTTTATTACTTTAACTAAGCTAAAAGTTTTAATATCTAGAGGGTAAATTCACCCATGTTGGATTCTGGCATTCTTGGAAAACTGAATTGCGCTGTATCAAACTGGCATAATCTCAGAATTATCTGGTCAAATTGGCCACAGCCGTCACGAGGAGTCTGTACAAAATCAGGAACGTTCTACACTCACAGCAGAATACATTCTAACCTTTCCTGCATGTGACATCTGTTCATTTGGCTTTATATAACCCAGCCTCCTGCAAATATACCTACTTCATGCTGATACTTGAAGAAATGAGTGTCACTGACCTCAGTGAGTCATATATTGATTCACACTTAACAATGATGTATGCATGACTTATCCTCCAGAAGTACTTTCCTTAAGATTGTGAAGGATATCAGTGCCAAGCCCAGGAAAAGAGATAAAAGCAGAAATAATTATCACCACTATGGTCTTCTGGTTGTTAAAAAAAAAAGTGCATGGCAAGTCAGCATGATAAATGACCCATTTTTGAAAAAGTAGATAAAGAGTATAGATACTGGAAAGAAGTTGAAAGAGCAGACCAAATCAAAGCCACCACCAACCACCTGCTCATTTTGAAAACAGATTTCTTTTTCTAAACTTGAAATTAAAAAAAACAAATTAACAAACTATTCTTTTTTTTAAATCTACCTGTTAATGACTTGCTCCCAATTCATATGATCCAGATCCCCCTCAGCTGGCTTTAAGATAATGTGAGCTAGCACAGGATCCAGGGTGACCTGCCTTGAGGGAAGAAAAGGAAAAATTAATAACTCCTAATATGGTAGTACTGGGTTACAGTATAAAATCAATTGATGCAACAATTATATTTTACCAGAAGGAGACAGGAGAAAAATACAAGTCAAAGGAAAAGAGAAGAGAACCCCCATCAGAGTGTCCACTAATCATCAACTAAATAATGCTGACTTGAAAAGAATAACTTTCTGCAAAGCTAAGAACAAAAACAACAGTGTAAATATACTAATCCACAACAAACTGAGCTTGTTCCATGCAAAATCAAATTCAATATTGGTGCAAAGACTGTTCAAATACTGTTTATCCTTGTTTTCAAGGACAAAGCCTTTTCAGGGTAAAAAGTTCCATATCCTCTTGTCTCAAGGGAAAACACACATTCAATCTTTCCCACCGTAGGCATAAAAGGCTTTCCCTCAAGATTTTGGAAAAGAATGAGAATGGATAAATTGGTAAAATGGGATAGACGCCACTTTTCCAATCAAGTCAGAAAACATACAAACAAAGTTAATTCGAAATTGAAAACAGTGGTAAACAGAAAGAAAATAAAATCCAAAATTGATTGTTAATGTTCTATTTGAGTGACATTTTTAAACTGAAAACCAGGCTAAACTGAAGAAAATCTGTCAGACCCGCAGATTTTTGTTTGAGCAGGCTCCACTGTATTATTGCTCTTGTAAGAAAAACAAGAAACTTAATTTGACCTTGCCTCACAAGGTGAGTAGACACTGGAGTTGTTCACACTCATTCAATTTTATAATGACTCCCTTAGCCGGCCAGTTCATTCTAATCCACCATCTTGGTCACTTTAAGTAGCATACAATGTTGCATCCTATTACTATTATCATATGCATCTATCAGGTACATATCTGTGATAAATTGCTGCATGTGGTTTCAGAGATGCATCCGGTGTGACATGTTGGGTTAATGCCAGCTTTTGTTTTCTCTTCATATTGAAATTCTTTCATGAAAATAATACACAAATTAAATTATAGGTATATTTACGTGTGTTTCTAACATTCCTGTAAAGCCATTTTAAAAAGTCTCACAGGGAGAATGGAGTATTATCCTACCTTATTTTATATTTCAAGATCATGTCACCACAAACCTCCTCCATACTTACTTCTTGTCATCCTCTCTGTGTAGGTTGTTGTTCCTGATGTAATTCGTGACACACTGACGGACATCTGCAACTATCAAAGCATCACCTTTCCTGGAAAGTGCATAATAGGAATAAATTTGAGGTTTTATGGTGGAAATAAGCAATGGTAAAAAAACAAAATAAGAATATTTAAACCAAAGGCAATAGTTAATTTGCACACACTGCAAATAAACTTTGTCCTGAAATTCATACATTTCACAAACTTTGTTACACACAGTCCATTCTGATCAAAAATGCAGATACAGTAGTCTCTACCTAATATCCAATCGCTTACAACCCAAGTTTGTTTAATTCAAAATCCCGATGTTTAAGGAAACAGAATTTTTATTACTCAAAAGTCACCCCAAAGATCTCATCCCACTCTGAAAACATCCGACTATGATCCCACATTTTAGATCATAATTTACGGCGGGGGGGGGGGGTGGAGACCCTGCGGGCAAAGCTGATCAACGAAGCTATGAAAATTTGCGATTATTGTACTGCACGTTGTATCATGGATCGTCCCCTCTCGTGAATGTGATTACAGCTCCACTGAAAACGTAGACAAAAGGGTACAACATTTGCCTAAAGAAGGCTCACATTAAGGTGTGAACTCATCAAGGCATTTATTTTCCAAGTACACCACACTCGCATCTGAGCTCTCCACATGAGGTAACATCACAAGCTGGGTGGGTAG